GCAGACAATCACATAGAGGGAGACTGACTAAATAATAAACGCCAGGAGGACAATGAGGGCCATGATTCCCACTGTGGGAGAATGGAGTTACAAAAAGAGAAAGGGAGATAACTAGAATGGATGCTATGGTGGTGGGCCAGAATTGGAAATATCTGTGGGAAGTGATGGTTTTCAATGTTTATAAATACAGTAATAGAGATTGATGTAAATGCATCTATGTACATATGTATGTAGGCACATCCATACATAAACATCATATATAAGTCATACACAGTTCTGGGAGAAGTGACATCCAATAGTGATGAGTATACTTAGTGCCCAGATCTTGGTTTGTAAAGGTCACCTTCCACTTTTAAAAGAACAGAACAAACAAATAAAAACAAAGTTCCTCAGTAAAATGACTACATTCAGGGCTATAACAGGGAAAGAATGAAATAAGTCCGGAATATGCTGTTGAAACATGAAGAAATCAAAGACAGACAGGGACGTATCAAAAAAGACCTAGAAACCATCCAGAAGGGATTTCCTTGGCCACATCTGGTATAATATGAGCAAAAAAGTAGCCCATTGAATAAAACAAAAATTAAAACCCACTGAGTAACCCACAGTAAGAATCATTTGTCCTTACTGATATACATAAATGAATAAAATGAAACTCTGATGAGGAACAGGGTATTTACATAATCTCAGAATACCTCTCAATTATTGATTACGAAGAGAAAAAGCATAAATTTAAGGTAGAGAAGCCTGGCAGACATCATCATTTCTTAAGTGCTCAAAGTTAACACAACCAATTTGATGGAACAAAGCAAAATCCTGTGCCACCTGATGGGAAGCGTCACTTCTCTTATATTCTGTTATATTCCTGCCAAAGATGCAAAAACTGAACTTTGTCTTGAAGAAACAGAAGACAAATCCAAATAAAAGGATTTTCTACAAAATGATTGTGCTATCATCTTCTAAACTGCCAGGATCATGAAAGTCAATGGAAAATGAGGAACTCTTCCAGACTGAAACAAAGAAAGCGTGACAGTGAAATGCAATGCATTATTCTGAACTGGATTCTTTCGTTATCAGGGATATTATAACAGACAACTGGCAAAGCATGAATGATGTAAGATCGTAGCAACATATTTCCCAATTCTAAGGGTTGGATGATGGTTACATAGGAGAGTCCTACTTTGAGACTAAGTCTGATGACAAGGTCCATACAATATTTTTATAGTTGAGGCTTTCTTCACCATTGACTTGTCTTCTGTGAGGTATCACACCCTGCTTTCAACTATCCAATGACTTCATCTCTCATTCTACAGACTAAAGTCCTTTCGATGGTCCATAAGTCACAGTGGTATAGTAGGCCAAGGCCACTACTAGACTCTAGTATGCTATAAGCTTTGGAGAACCTGTTGTTAAAATTCTAGCAGTTCTGCAAAGCAGGTCAACTCACCCAGTTGGTAGGTTGAAGGTCATCCATGGCAAAAGTATTCACACCAAAGAAATCAACAAATGCTGCAAATCAAGACCTTTCGTGTGTCTTTTTGTTTCCATGGAGAGTAGAATATTAAACATGTGCCAGCACACTGCCATAAGACGTTTTGCTGTGTGTTGCCCCACCTCACCCGCATCTCTCTGAACTAGGAACCCTTTCAAACATACTTTCTTAGAAATGGAAATTGTCTCACACAAGTATGTCACTTCTACATCTCACCCTTTTTAGTTTAATACTCAAATGTCTATTTCTCATTTGAAATAAAAGATTATAACTTTTTCCTCCCAGTCCCTTTTGGAATTCTCTACTTCTATTATATTTTATTTATTTTGTATATTCTCTGCTGCCTCTTCCACACTGCCACCATTAGACTGTAAGCTCAGCAAAGGCAAGTATTCTTGTCTTTGCTGCTATTACTGTTCATGGCTGTATCCTCAGCACTAAGAATTTGAATTTTCCGTACTAGAGTAAGAACACAATAAACATCTGTGGATTGAATAAATGAATGGCCAAAGTTTATCCCAAGAATGCTAAGACTGTTTAACATAAATAGATCTTTACATCTGTGAATGGAAAAATGAGGAAGCCAGACTCTTTTTAACAACCCACTATTGCAGGAACTAATCCATTCCTGAAAGAGAACTCACCTACCCATCTCCCATGGGAGGGCATTAATCTATTCAAGAAGGATCTGCCCCCAGGAACCAGGCACCTCCCACTAGTCTAGTCCCTATGTCTCAACAGTGCCACACTGGGGATCAACATGACAAAACATAGGGACAAAACACACCCAAACCATAGCAATTAGGAACGAGAACACCAATATTTACATTAACTATAAAATAAACTAAATATTTTAATTAAAACGCACAGATCAGGCCAGGCGCGGTAGCTCAAGCCTGTAATCCCAGCACTTTGGGAGGCTGAGGCAGGTGGATCACGAGGTCAAGATATCGAGACCATCCTGGTCAACATGGTGAAACCCCGTCTCTACTAAAGATACAAAAAATTAGCTGGGCATGGTGGCGCGTGCCTGTAATCCCAGCTACTCAGGAGGCTGAGGCAGGAGAATTGCTTGAACCCAGGAGGCGGAGGTTGCGGTGAGCCGAGATCGCGCCATTGCACTCCAGCCTGGGTAACAAGAGCGAAACTCCGTCTCAAAAAAAAAAAAAACACACAAAACAAAACGCACAGATCAGAATGTTTTTAAAATCACCAAAGTATATATTCTTTAAAATAGCATTCAGTTTTATGCTATTTTTACAGAAACACAGTATTTTTACAGTTTTATGCTTTACACTGAAAGACATAAGACAAGTTAAGAGGGTAGAAAAGACATACTATGCAAACAGTATAGTCAATTGATTTCTCATGAAGATACTGAATTATTTTAATGGGAGAAATTATGGCCTTTTCAACTCATGGTGACAGAATAACTGAATATCCTCATACAAAAAAAAAAGAACTTTGATCCCTACCTCACTGCAAACACAAAAATGAACTCAACATGATCATAGATCAAAATGTAAAAGCTAAAACTATATAACTCCCAGAAAATAAACCTAGCAAAAAATCTTCACAACCTTGAGGTAGGCAAAGATTTAAGACACCAAAAAAAAAAAAAAAAAAAACCCTTAAAGAAAAAGAAAGCAATAGAGTGGACTTTATTAAAATAACAATTTCTGTTCATCAAAGGACACTATTAAGAAAATGAGGCTGGGCATGGTGGTTCACACCTGTAATCCCAGCACTTTGGGAGTCCAAAGCAGGCAGATTGCTTGAGTCCAGGCACTTAACATTATTAGTCATCAGTGAAGTGAAAATTAAAACTACAAGATACTACTTTACACCCATTAGAATGGTTCAAACTAATAGGACTAACAATACTAAACCCAAGTGAGAATGTAAGCAGCTGAAACTCTTTTTTTTCCTGGTTGAGTGTGTAAAGTGGTACAATCACTTTGGAGAACTGTTTGGTAATTTCTCACAAAATAACACGCACATTTGTCCCATGACCCAGAAATTTCAGGTAAGTACCCTTAGGTACCTACCTAAAAAGAAATGAAAATGTATGTCCAAAAAAAGATTTATACAATATTGTTATGACAACTGTAGTCATAATAAGCAAACTCTGGAATCAAGAAAAACATCCAACAATAGGAGAACAGATAAATGAATTGTAGTATATTCATACAATGGAAAACTCAGCAAGAAAAAGGAACGAACTACTGATACATGCAGCCACATAGATGGAATATGAATCTTTAAAATATTATGGAAGGAATGCAGCCAGAAACTATATATATGCTGCATGAATCCATTTATAAGCAGTTCAAGAAATGTCAAAACTAAGTCGAGCAAAGTTAGGTTTCCTAACTTGCTTAAACAAGGGAGAGTAGTCCAAGGGAACTGTGAAAGGACCCTGGATGAGAGGAAGGGAGGGTTTGTTGGTGTGTGTGGTTTGTTTTTTGTTTTGATTTGGTACGGCTTGGGCTCCTAATTACAAGGTGCACCAGAATTGGAGATATTTGTCCAAATTCATGATTTTTGAAAAGAGAAAAAGAAATACATTTAGAGTACTAAGTATTATTTCCATTTCAAGATTGAAGAAATTCAGATTAAATTATTCTAACTTTGTGAGGAAGCAAGCATTTGAACTCAGTTCTCACGCCATATCCCAAACTGCCACACCAGATATCTGGCAGATTGAGAGAAAAGAGGAAAAAACTAAGCATCAACCTGTGACACTGTGTAATAACATTCTCAGGATTTTAACATCTAACTTAATCTCTCTCTGAGAAAGCGATCACAAAGGAATAGACAAGGGCGCCACAAATCATTAAAACTGCTTTCAAACAAAAAGAGAACATTTTCCCTAAAAGTTTCTTGTTTGTGCAGCAAATAACAAGCTCAACGTTCTCACTGGAACTCAGAATATGAATAAAAAAACGAGCTCCAATGAGAAGTCTGTAACCTTTCTTGGGGGTGCACTAAACTCACGTTTATTGAATGATTGTGTGGTTTCTCTGCAAAGAGCAGTTTGAAGAGAAAAGACCCGAAGTTATTTACAAAACAAGAAGCGCACACATAGGAACTGATCCAGTAAGGAGGATCCCGAAGAGAGGTAGACGAGGCATTTTTTGCATTGTTTTGTAGGAAACGCCAGGCACTGCCAACGGTGTTTTACATCACCATTCCTCAAATCTTAACGTGCATTTGATTCCTGGGAATCTTGTTTAAATAAAAGTTCTGATTCCATAACTCTGGTGTGGGGCTGAGACCCTGAGATTCTAAAAAGCACCCCAAAGATACCCAGACTGTCAGTAGGGGTGGAGGTAGCGGAGGCGACTACAGGGGAAAGCTTCACTTTGAGTGGTCGAGAGGTACTCAACTGGAAACAAGAAACTCAAAGTCCCTCGTTCCGAGAGAGCAGAGAGAGACTCACCAACCCCCAGCCCCCGGGAGCAGAAAAGCGTGCTGGGCACCGCGCCGCCTAGGATCCAGTTCTTACCCCAGGATCAGCAGCGCGCTCTGCAGCTGTCTCCGGACCTCCAGAAACACGCGTGTCTTCGCCGCAGTTGTCGCCATGGCGAGCGTCCAATCCCGGACTGGACCAAGCTGGAGGGTCCAAAGGGCCCGGGTCAACGTGACCAGGTGCGGTTCCACGTGCGGACCAACCAGCAGCAGCGTCGCTGCGGCGCAGGCGCCTGTACCAGACGCGCGGCTAGCACCGCCTACCAGCTCACAGCGCCACTTGCCGGCCGGAGAGCGCGCTACAGTGAACGCGCGGGACCCCGGAGGGCGGGGCGGGGCGGGGCGGGGCGCGCGTTTTCAAAACCAGGCTTTGGCCCAGTGCTGAGAAAGGTGGGCGACGAGAGGCAAGCTATCCTCCCACTTTGCTTCTCATGAGCGTGACTTGACGCGTTAGCCTCCCTGGAAATTACCATAAAAATCAGACCTAGGGTACACTCTGGCTAGCTTGAAGGGAAGGAGATGATGGAGGCAGGTGTTACAGGTGCTTTGTCCCCAGGAGATCCAAGAGCAGAATTCCCCGCCCCAAACCCACTTTATCCTGGTCTCTTTTATGAACAAGGATAGTTTGTTAGCCTCTGTCTAAAGCAACAAAAATTTCAAGAATTGACTTGCCATTGCTTCTCAACTTAGGATAGCTCCAAAATTGAAACAGGTGCAAAAACGTAAGGAAGTTTTTTGTTACCTGATGCAGAAGAGTGTGGCTGAAGTCTATCTTGAATACAGGATTAACCATTTTTTAGGGGGTAAAAAAGGACGTTGAGAATGATTACGTATGTACAGCTCCACTATTCACTTTCACAGAAGTAAAAACTAAGAGAATTCGTCATTCCGTTACGACTAGAAGACAGTTTTGAAAAGTTTGGCACAGTAAAGAACCTGATATAATGTAAGTACTTATAATGAAGAACCATTAAAATGTAAGACCAGGGTAGAATTTACAATAGGATTTCTTAAAAACAAAAAACTGCTATTTTTTGAAACAAAAATAGTGATGGCTTGTATACATAAAACCTTGTTTATTGATGTTCTATTATTTCAAAGTAATAATTACTGCACACCAAACACATTAATTTGAAGTATTTCTAAACAAAATAATTAGACCATATATATATATATATATATAGATATAGACACGGAGTGCAGTGGCACAATCTCAACTCATTGCAACCTCCGCCTCCCAGGTTCAAGCAGTTCTCCTGCCGCAGCCTCCAGAGTAGCTGGGAGTACAGGCGCGCACCACTATGCCCGACTAATTTTTATGTTTTTGGTAGAGACGCGGTTTCACCACGTTGGCCAGACTGGTCTAGAACTCCTGACCACAAGTGATCCGCCCACCCTGGCCTCCCAAAGTGCTGGGATAACAGGCGTGAGCCATAGTGCCGGCCTAGACCATAAATAAATTCTTTTTTATTTTTATTTATTTATTTTTTCGAGATGGAGTCTCACTCTGTTGCCCAGGCTGGAGTACAGCAGCGCGATCTCGGCTCACTGCAGCCTCCCACTCCTGGGTTCCAGCGATTCTCCTGCCTCAACCTCCCCTGTAGCAGGGATTACAGGCGGTAGCCACACCCAGCTAATTTTTGTATTTTTAATAGAGACAGGATTTCACCATGTTGGCCAGGCTGGTCTCGAACTCCTGATCTCATGTGATCCGCCCGCCTAGGCCTCCCAAACTGCTAGGATTACAGGCATGAGCCACCTAGCCCAGACAATAAATTGTAAATAAATAAATCCTGTCATATATTTTAAGATAACAGCTTGAAACAATTTTTCTAAAATTAGTATTTGGGGTTATTAAAGTTCATCATGTTGACGCACAAATTATTATATCTATCACAATAATTTGAAATCATACATGGAAGCAACAACTCAGTTAAAAAAATTAAGTTTACTACTATTTGGTCTCAATTCATCTATTTGAAGTATGATGATTTCAGCTATGCATATCCTCCATCTTTAATCCTCGAAGCTATTGAATGTTTAAATATTGACACATTATATTGAAATACACATATTCCTTAGCACAGCTTACTCTTCATAATTGTTTTGTCAGCTTAAAAGATTGCTATATATTTAATTACGTATTTGTAAAAACTTCAATCATTTTTTGGACCCTACAGTGTTGACAAAACGGTGCAATCCACCTTGGAATAACTAGACATGATTGACAGAAAAGAGCTCTAGACTCAAAATAGTTCCAAATCTGATACCAAATATTTGTCTCCTAACTTCACAAGTCTCCTAACCTCTCTGGGCCGCAGGTTACTCACATGAAATATTGAGAAACTATTAAAATAATATTTACATAGTTATTTCAATAATTTAAAAGCTGTTTTCGGTTCCTATTATCCCTTCAAACTCTCCATCAAGATGAGACTGGCGCTGGCAAGTTGAAAACACCTGTTAAATCCCTTTCTAGCCACTCCTGAAATTGGTAGCCATGGCCGCTTCCCGCGACAGTCCACTTGAGGGCGCTGTGGTAACAGCTATCGCCGGGAGGCAAGAAGCCGACCGGGGGCGGGGATCGAAGGCCGCAGACGTCGACGCCGGCGTGGGCGCGAGCGCGGTGCACGCTGGGAGCTGTCACTAGGCCCTTCGGCTCCCGGCCTCGGTGTAGCTGCCGCGGTTGCCAGGAGAGCGGTGCCGGCGGGGAGCGGCTGAGCCCGCAGCAGGTAAAAATGTTCCCGCTCCCAGTGCGGTCGCTTGGCTGGTCGCCGGCTCTGAGCATCCTCCTCGGCCAGGATAGGCTAGGTTCTGAGCCCCCGGGACGCCTAGCGGGTCTGACTGCTGTGGCGTCGGGGGTGTTGCCCCTCTGGCCCCGCCTGGAGCCGCGAAGCTGGTCAGCCGCCTTCTGATTTCCGGGAAGTCGGGAGCTGCGCGGGGACTGGAGGGCCAGGGCTGGGGCCGGAGCCGGGACCTGGCGGAGGCGCTAGGGCGGCTTCGGGCAAAGGAGGCTGGAGGCGGGGCCGGGCCCGGGGGCAGGTCCAGAGCCTCCCGAGCTGGGGCGGAGCAGTGCGCAAGCTGGGGCAGAGGTCGCACCTGTGAGGTGGAGGCGCGCGGAATACCCTCTTTGTTGGAGGAATCGAGGCATTGTGCCTTCTCAGTTGCTGGGTTCTTTCAGCATTGAGGAGACACGAAGGCCCGCGATGGTTCCTGTTCTCCAGGGGGCTTAGAAAGGAGTACCGAAGTTTATTAAGAGGAAGTCGGAAGAGTCAAACGGCAGTTGTTAACAATTATCACCTTTGATTTCCTAGCCTTTTAAAGTTGCAACATAACAATAGCCACTTGTTCGGCTTCCTGCATTCCAGTACCCTGAGCAGGCGGGGAATGCACGCAACTATTCTCAAAAGCTAAGTAAATTGTGTTTTGAACATTTTTACACTATCTTAGAGTTCTGTGGAGCTTGAAAAACATAAAGATTGGAAAAATTACTTCGACTCCAGCTAAAGCAGTCAAAAAATTATAATTACCAAAAATGTAGGAAACTGTTTGCCTGACAAATAGGCCCTGAACTGTAGAGAGACAAATAACTCTGTTTTGATGTTGTTGGCTATTGTCTATGCAGACATAAGTTCTTGCATTTTAATTTTGTTTGTAGGTATTAATATGATCTACAGTGAATAACATGTCAGCATTACTGTGTTAACTCACCACCTGATAGATAACACAGTGATTTAGGTGGGCCGACTGAAGTTATGAGTAAATTAAAACCACCGAATAGTCTAAATGCTTTATTTTATGGTGGAGTGATTACTTTCAGCCACAATTGATAACTAAATCATTCTCTATAATTGTTAAGCAGTAGCAAATCTCCACGAGGGCTTGATTATTCAGCTAGTGCTGAAAGAACTAAAACACCTGAGTTGATACACGAACCAGAAAATGTGACACCATATCCCAAATCTTAAAGGTAGGTTAAGTGATGTCAGTTAAATGTTTGATTGTATACGTTCAAAGAATTCCTATTTTGTAGTTAAAGTAATGGAATGAGCTCTGACCTGGGGATGAAGAGATTAGATTGAAGTCCTTTAGTATGCTACTAACCAGGTGTGATCTCTAGGCTTTAGTTTTGTCATTGTTTAAGGGAATTTGAAAAGACCAGGGTTTTCCAAACTGGTGTTTCCTTCAGAACAGTCTTCTAAAGTCATTTGATAGGCTTACTTCCCCCAAAGCAGTGTTCCATGGCAAATAATTTGAGAGCACACTAGGTTAAGCTAGGTTTAACTTTTTTGCCTATAAAGGCAGGACTCTTCAAAACCTTTACTGTTAGGCTTATACATGGAAAATCTCCAGGGGAAGGTTATCCTAGCATTCCCTATACTTATCTAATCTATTTTCTCATGGCCAATTGGTTAACAGCTCTCAGAATGTAATTACCTGGAATACAAATGTGAAAACTACTATACTTGAGTTGAGTCCCTTTCAACTATAAAAGTCCATGCATTAGGCTTTTTTTTTTTTTGGCTGTCATTCATTTTAAGCGTTTTGGGGCATGAAGATCTAGTGGCAACTCACTTGTATTAACAAAAAGAAATTATATTTTTCTTAGTAAAACATTAAGGACACACTTAAGTTCCTGTGAATCTTGATGCTTTAGTTATTGGCAGAAGAGTTATTTTTTTGTGTTTAAAAAAAAATTTTTAAGACCATAATTAACATTTTGAATTTGATTTTATGGTGGAGTGGAGTTGATTTTACTCAAAATGGCATTTTAAAGTTCCAAGTGAAGACTTGTTGATAATGGCATCACTTATATGATTTCTCCTTAAGTCTTGAATTCCTAAAATGCATTTAGGAATTAGGAGAAATCATAAAAGTGATGCCATTATCAACAAGTCTTCACTTGGAACTTTAAAATGCCATTTTGCTTACTGTGTAATAACTGCATAATTTTAAGAGGTTATATCATGGAAAAGAGCTAAAGGCTAAAACACAAATTCTGAGATGGTTATTTCTAAATTGCTTTACAAACAGGATGTGTGCTGAACACAATCTTAAATTGTTTTGCTAAAATCTGTTAAGTGTCACTAGCACACAACCATTGTGGATAGTCTGTCCATTCCTTGTTACTTTCTTAGGGTGAATGGTGTTAATGTACAGTTTTGCTTGGGCATAGAGGTGGGAAAAGAACATGAAATTTTAATAGATAAGCCTTAATTCAAGTAAATTCTCTTCCTGGAACTATTAAGCAGAAATCTAAAACTAATATTTTTTGTGTAATAGCCAACAGTTTTTATTGAGAATTTATTATATGAAAATATGATCCATTTGTCTTTAATTGGCGGTTTCCCTTTTTTCTTTATTGTATTTACTTCCTCCTCTGTAAGCTGTCCAAGCCTGAAATCTCAATGACCTTTCATTGCATTAGTCAATGATATGGTATCAAATTTATTAAGGAAAAATTTATATACACTGCTGTACATTCATTTAAGTGTGCATTTCAACAAGTCTTAGTAGACATATACACGCCTATGTGACTACCACCATAATCAAGATTTGGAACATGCTGCCACTCAAGCACATATTATACTTTTACTTTCTCAGGATGTTCTCCTGTTTCTGAGTGTCTAAATTATACCTATCTTTCAAGACCTAGCTCAAATGCTACCTTGTGAACCTTTTTTTGATTACCTCATTTTGAATTTATTTCCCCGTCTTCTGATTTTCCTATTCATATTGTTTTAAACATTATTCTCTGTGCTTTGTGGTGGCTAACCCAATGGCGAACATATAGCAGGTACTTATTTGTTGACCAAATGGATTAGTGTAATATTTTCTAAACTTCAGTCATTGGGATATTATATTCAACATTTTGGCCATATATTCCTGTTTGACATTCTGTTATTAATATTTCTTTATATCAATGTGTAATGTTTTAAAGGAAACTTGAGATAACTATGAGTAGAAAGCAGGTGGCACTTGGCATAAACAGAAGCTGGACATATACGTAAAAATAATGAAAACCAAATGTTGTTAATTTCTCTGCCAGAGGCTCTAATTCTAAAACTTGCCCTTTGTTTAAAAGTAAGATTGGGGCCGGGCGCTGTGGCTCAGCCTGTAATCCCAGCACTTTGGGAGGCCGAGGCGGGTGGATCACGAGGTCAAGAGATCGAGACCATCCTGGTCAACATGGTGAAACCCCATCTCTACTAAAAATACAAAAAATTAGCTGGGCATAGTGGCGCATGCCTGTAATCCCAGCTGCTCAGGAGGCTGAGGCAGGATAATTGCCTGAACCCAGGAGGTGGAGGTTGCGGTGAGCCGAGATCGCGCCATTGCACTCCAGCCTGGGTAACAAGAGCAAAACTCTGTCTCAAAAAACAAAAAAAAAAGTAAGATTGGGAAGAATTTCAATGGTGACATCTTGCCAATGGTTAACATCTTGGCACTAAACTGGGACTTTGTTCTTGATGCAGCCAGAGGAACTGAAAGAGAATGAAGAGGGAATAACCTTGTTTTTTGTTTTTTTTGAGATGGAGCCTCGCTCTGTCACTCAGACTGGAGTGCAGTGACATGATCTTGGCTCACTGCACCCTCCGCCTCCCAGATTTAAGCTATTCTTCTGCCTTAGCTTCCCAATTACTTGCAATTATAGGTACCTGACATCACACCTGGCTAATTTTTGTATTTTTAGTAGAGGCGGCGGGGTTTCGCCATGTTGGCCAGGCTGGTCTCAAACTCCTGACTTCAGGTGGTCTGCCTGCCTCTGCATCCCAAAGGGCTGGAATTACAAGCATGAGCCACCACACCTGGCCCTTCATTTGATTCATTGTCACCTCTGCCCTCAGATCTGATAAAATCATCTCACATCTGTCCATTTGGTGGCCCAAATTTTTGTAGCTACCAAGTTAATCAGTGCTTAAAAATGACTTAGAATTTTATCTGTGCAATAATTGGGAAATAAAGTCTTAATTAAATTAAATTGAGAAGTGTGCTACATTTACCTTAAAAAATATAGTTACTTTAGAAAATACAGTACAACGATAATATAATCATTCTTGAATCAGATATGTCTCTTTTTTCAAAAATGTTCTGAATGTTACTGATGTTACATCTTATTAGGGTACATTACCCTTAAGATAAATATTTAAATCTAAAATCTAAATCTGAAAACAAGTGGGAACCTGTTAGATGACAAAGTGATGACTGTTGATTCAGGAGTGATGAAATGTTAATATAATTAACTAGGAAAGCTGCTGTATGAGTAGATGAGGTATTAAAGTTAATCTCCTATTGCCTTTAGTTTTTTCTCTCGTCACTTAAGTTTTATATAGCTATATTTTCATATTTCCATCCTGCTAAAGACATTTCTAGACTTTTTCTTTCTGAGATGACACATTCTACTCTCTTATGGATGGAGTTTCATATGAACAGACTGGAAAATAAATTCCCCGCTCTTAGTTTGTAACATACATCTTTTTCTGTGTGTGTGGTTTTTTTTGTTTTTTGAGACGGAGTCTTGCTCCCAGGCTAGAGTACAGTGGTGCAATCTTGGCTCCCTGCAACCTCCGCCTCCTGGGTTCAAGTGATTCTTCTGCCTCAGCCTCCTGAGTAGCTGGGACCACAGGCGCGTGCCACCACGCCCGGCTAATTTTTGTATTTTTTTTTTTTTTGAGACGGAGTTTCGTTGGTGTTACCCAGGCTAGAGTGCAATGGCATGCATGATCTCGGCTCACCGCAACCTCCGCCTCCTGGGTTCAAGCAATTCTCCTGCCTCAACCTCCTGAGTAGCTGGGATTACAGGCACACGCCACCATGCCCAGCTAATTTTTGTATTTTTAGTAGAGACGGGGTTTCACCATGTTGACCAGAATGGTCTTGATCTCTTGACCTCGTGATCCACCCGCCTCGGCCTCCCAAAGTGCTGGGATTATAGATGTGAGCCACCACGCCCAACCTTAATTTTGGTATTTTTAATAGAGACGGGGTTTCACTATGTTGGCCAGGATGGTCTAGATCTCTTGACCTCGTGATCCACCCACCTTGGCCTCCCAAAGTGCTGGGATTACAGGTGTGAGCCACCGTGCCTGGCCTTGTAACATACATCTTGTATGTAAAGTTGCTGTTGTTAATTACAGGCATATATCCATATTGTGAGCTTAAAGTTTGCTGTTACTTTATGTTCATGAACAAAGAGCTTGGTTAAATAGACCCTTTCATTTGGTATTAACTGTTTTCCAAAAAAAAAAATTAACCTGAGTTGTGATAAGTTTATCAGTACACATAGTTTTTTGCTACTCAACCAGAGGTCAGATTCCTGTTAATATAAATTTCTGGGATACAACCTCAAAAATTGGAAGTAAAAAAAGCCATCTTGGATGCATAACCAAACAAGTGGTTTCTTTCCTGCTTCTCTACAGTAAAAGGAGCAGTATAGAAGCAGTACAGTTAAACAGTCATCCTTTAGAAGTGACAGCTGACTGTAATCTAAAAACCATAAAAGCACTGCAGTCTTAGTCCTTTGAATTATACAGGTAAATAGCCCTACGTTTTTCACTTGCTTTTGATTGTGCTATTATATTATGAAAAGGTACTATAAAGTATCAGCTACCTAAACCCCTAGAATATAAGTGTTATTTTTGGCAAATGTTCTAGATAGCTAGAATTTTTATGTACTCCAGATGCCATTGCAGAGCACTGATTATGCTTTTTGCTTGTGTTCAGCATGATGCAGCTGGCACAGTGGCTTTTCCATACATGCTCAACAATTAAAAAATTTCCTGGAGAGGTTTTTCTCCTGCTGGCCTGTTAAAAAAATAGAATATAGTACAGTACTTGCTTTTAAAGAGAGTCTCCAACATTTTGGAAGAAATATGTATTTGAATGACTTTTCATATTGTATACAGCATTACCACCAATTAGCAGCCCATTTTTTTGCAAGGGGGGGGGTCAATGGGGGGGGCGTTGGGTACTGAGTCTCTCTCTGTGGCCCAGGCTGGAGTGCAGTGTTGTGATCTCGGTGCTCACTGCAACCTCCACCTCCTGGGTTCCAGTGATTCTCTTGCCTCAGTCTCCCATGTAGCTGGGACTACAGGTACACACAACCAAACCTGGCTAATTTTTTTTTGTATTTTTTAAAATAGACAGGGTTTTGCCATGTTGGCCAGGCTGGTTTCAAACTCCTAACCTTGAGATCCGCCCACCTTGGCCTTCCAAAGTCCTGGGATTACAGATGTGAGCCACGGCACCCGATCAGCAGTTCACATTTGAGCCTGAATGAGGGATTCCAGAAATATTATATGGCCTCTGACATTTTATTGGAAGGCTGTTCTCAAAGCACTGTGTTCCAAAACTACATGATTCCATAACTTCAGGCTGCCAATTAGTTTTGTGTAATCTGGTAACTTTTATTATGTCTTAATATATAGAGGTTGTGGTTGAAAAAAGGAAAATATTATTTGAGAATAAACTGTTTTTAAGTTATCTATTGCTGTTGAAAAAAGGAAAATACTATTTGAGAATAAACTGTTTTTAAGTTATCTATTACTATATGACAAATTATCTTGAAATGTAGTGATTTAAAACAGTATCTCCCACAAATGTTGTCAGAGGGGATAGGGAAGTTGTTTGGGTTGAGTTCTGGCTTGAGTTTCTTATGAGGTTGCAGTCTGATGTTGGCGTCAGCTGCAGGTAGTCTGATTGCAGTTGGAGAACCCACTTCCAAAGTGGTTCACTCATGACTGGCAAGGCAAGTTGTTTCTGGCTTTTAGAGAAAAGACTCAGTTACTCCCACATGGGCCTCTTCATAGGGCTGCTTGAGTGTCCTTATGACATAGAGGCCAGCTTGCCCCAGAATAAGAGATTCTGGAAACATTAAGGTGGGAACTGCACTGTCTATTATGGACTTTTACTTCAGCAGTGTTCTACTGATTATTGACAGAGGCCAGCAATATTCTGTGTGGTAAGAAATTGTACAAGAGCACGAATATCAGGAAGTGAGGATCTTTGAAAGCCATCTTGGAAGCCAGTATGTGAATATGTATCTAAATTTTAAGCAATACCTGTTTACTCCGTGTGTGTATATACATACCTCATTATGATTTCGGAAAAAATATTCAAAGATGAACTTAAAATGCCACTTGAAAATTATGTGCCATACAAATCAAGCACTTCAACAAAATTCTTAGTCTCCATGGTGTTTTGGGAGGAGGTTATGATTTTGAGTTGAGATGTGGCATTTAAGATACAGATTTTAGTTTTATTTTCTTTTTGTTATATATTGGATGAAAGGAAACAGCACATTTTACAGAGTTGCTATTTCATGTTTTTTAGAGACATTATTTGTTATTTTACCCTTTATTACCATAAATAGAGTAATATGATTTTAAAAGTGTAAGAAAGTATACAGACAGTCCCCAAAACATGGTAGTTTTTTCTTTACACTGATGCAAAAATGATACACATGCAGTAAAAACTGGACTTGTAATACCCATACAACCATTTTGATTTCTTCTTCCAGTATAGTATTTAATAAATTACATGAGCTATTCAACACTTTATTATAAAATATGCTTTATATTGGGTGATTTTGCCCAACGATAGGCTAATGTAAGTGTTCTGAGCACATTTAAGGTAGGCTAGGCTAAACAATGATGCAAATAATAGTGAATCAACATGATGTACTTAACACTACTGAAATGTACACTCAGTGATTAAGGTAATAAATTTTGGCCAGGCTCAGTGGTTAATTCCTGTAATCTCAACACTTTGGAAGACCAAAGCCAGAGGATTGCTTGAGCCTAGCAATTTTAAATGAAATGTTAGATACATTTTAACTTAGGATATTTTCAACTTAGATGAGTTTATGTGAATATAATCCTTAAGTCAAGGAACATCTGTACAATGAAAAGACTCCCTCTCCTGGACCGTCATCCACCCCATTACCACCTGTCTCCTAGGAAGTAATGTTTTGTTTTCTTGTGTGTTCTTTGAGATATGTGTTGCACATATGCAAATTAATACATATTTTCCTTTTTTAATGTAAATGGTAGCATATTATAAACACTATTCTGTACTTTGCTTCTTCTAGTTAATGTATCTTCGCACTTTAAAAATCAATGTACAGACTTAATTCATTATTTTTACCAGCTGAAAATATTCTATTGTCATTCAATTTTTATAATGTTTATTGACTATTTACTGTGGATCAGGCAATTTGCTAGGAGCTGGGGATTTGAGAGCTAAAATGACAGATGAGGTCTCTCTGTTACAGGGATTACCACCCCTGGAGTTACAGTTCAATTACAATAAAGCAAGGTAAGTTCTATGATAGAGGAAGTTTACTGTGTAGTAGGAATTGACAAGAAGGAAGTGTGTATGTGAGTGTTGGAGAAATGGTGAAATGGTCACAGAAGACTTCCCAAAGGGGATAAAATCTCAGACCCAAATTAAACACTAGTTTGTATGGTCTAATGGTGTTTGACAGGGGTGCCAGGATGACTAAATGAGGAAAGTGTTGGGTAAACTGGTTAGATAGTAGGTAGATCGTGTTGGGTAAACTGATATCCCCGATGTGAAAAAATTAAGTTGTATGTCTTATACCATATACAAAGATTAACACAAAATGGATTAAAGACCTAAAGATAAGACCTAAAACTATAAAACTCGTAGAAGAAAGCATAGGAGAAAAGCTTTATGACACTGGGTTTGGCAGTTTCTTGGATATGGCAGCAAAACCACAGACAATAAAAGCAAAAATAAAAAAAGGGATTATATTAATCTTAAAACTTTCTGTGCATCAGAAAACATAAAGTGAAAAAGCAAACTATGGAAAGGGAGAAAATATTCATATATTGTATGTTTTGATAAGAGGCTAATATCCAGAATACATAAAGAGCTCATCCAGTTCAATAATAACAGCAAAATAACCAAATTTTAAAATGGGCCGAGGACTTAAATAGACATTTTTCCAAAGATGATATATGAATGGCTTACAAACATCTGAAAAGATGTTGAGGCCGGGTGCGGTGGCTCACGCCTGTAATCCCAGCACTTTGCAAGGCCGAGGCAGGTAGATCACGAGGTCAGGAGATTGAGACCATCCTGGCCAGCATGGGGAAACCCAGTCTCTGCTAAAATACAAAAAATTAGCCAGGCGTGGTGACGCACACCTGTAGTCCCAGCTACTCAGCAGGCTGAGGCAGGGGAATCGCTTGAACCCAGGAGGCGGAGGTTGCAGTGAGCCGAGATTGCGCCACTGCAGTCCCTCTCAGCAACAGAGCAAGATTACGTGTCAAAAAAGGAAAAACAACGTTGAAGATCACTAATCATTAGAGAAATTCAAATCAAAACCACAAAGAGATACCTAACCTTACAACCATTAGGATGGCTACTATTAAAAAAAAAGTATTGGGAAGGATATAGGGAAATTAAAAACTTGTTGGCCACTGTTAGTAGGAATGTAAAATGGCTCAGCCACTGTGAAACACAGTATGGCTATTCCTTAAAAAAAGTTTTAAAAATTACTCTCTAAATTCTGCAATCCCACTTTTGGATGTATCCAAAAGGATAAAAAAGCAGGATCTGGAAGAGGAATTTGCATGCCCATGCTGATAGCACTATTCATGATAATCAAGAGGTAGAAGCAACTAAATGTGCATCTGTGGATTTATGGATAAGCAAAATATAGTGTCTATATACAATGAAATATTAGCCTTAAGGAAATTCTGACACATACTACAACATAGATGAATCTTTAGGACATTATGCTAAGTAAAATAAGCCAGTCATAATAAAAAGACACATACGTATCTAAAGTAGTCTAATTCATAAAAACAGAAAGCAGAATTGTTGTTAATGGGTTAGAGTTACAGTTTGCAAGATGAAAAGTTCTGGAGATTGGTTGCACAACAATGTGAATGTACTTAACCACTCAGTGGTTAAGATGGTAAATTTTGACTAGGCTCAGTGACTCCTTCCTGTAATCCCAACACTTGGGGAGGCCAAGGCCAGAGGATTGCTTGAGCACAGAAGTTCAAAACCAGCCTGGGAAAAATAGGAAGACCCCTTTAAAAAAAAAACATAGTAAATGTTGTATGCTTAAAAAAAATTTTTTTTAAAGGACTATAGGCTGAGTACAGTGGCTCATGCTTGTAATCCCACCACTTTGGGAAGCCAGGGCAGGAGAATCGTTTGAGGCCAGGAGTTCAAGACCAGCCTGGAAGAGAAAGCAAGACCCTGTCTACAAAAAAAATTTTTTTTTAATTAGCCATGGTGGCACCCACCTGTAATCCTGGCTACTCAGGAGGCTAAGGCAAGAGGATTGCTTGAGCCCAGCAGTTAGAGACTTCAGTGAGCCATGATTGTGCCACTGCATTCCAGACTAGGTAATAGAATGAGACCTTGTCTCAAAAAAATAAAAGGGACTTTAAACTTTTAAAACATGAAGGATATGTACATTTTTTTACATTTTATACTGTCATGTAAGCCATGTTTCTAAATCAAGAGTGTCCAAACTTTCGGCTTCCCTGGGCTACATTGGAAGAATCATCTTGGACCACACATAAAATACAGCTGATGAACTAAAAAGGTCCATACATAAATCTCATAATGTTTTAAGAAAGTTTACAAATTTCTTGGGCCATATTCAGAACTGTTTTGGGTTGTGGGTTGGACAGCCTTCTTCTGAATATTGAAAAAGATACTGATTTAAACATTAGCCAAATCAAAGGAGTTGAATCACAAGGTATCATGCAGAGGCATAGCATTTTGAGTTTAGTATGATTTAACAGAAAATTAAATTCTGTCTGTAAAATTAATAGCATAAAGGCACTGAGATGGGAGGGAGCAAGTCTTTAACAGTGGACAGTCACCTAGGTTTTGCTTAGCTGGGACAGAACTGTGAATGATAAGATTGAAGGAATGGTTCTACTTTATGAAGACCTTAGTTATATGGCTAACAGCTTGGATTTCATATCTCAGGAAATGAATGTCATAATTATAGCAGTAATAAGAGCACTTCCTATGTGCTTAGTTAACACTGAGCTAAAGTGCTTTCCAGGAATTATCAAATGTACTTTTTTGAGCTTTTAGCAGGGAACGTGCTCCACCTGCTCTTTCCTGGGTAGAATTAATTGGCTTTTGGAGAAGGTGAAGGTAATGAAAATAGGCTGTTGTCATAGTTTAGGAATAAGATAGGCTACATGAATAAAAGACCACTCTGAAAAATGTGCATTTGTAGACTTTATTAAAACTGCTTCAAAACGAAATCGTCCAAGTACAAACTTGTTCAATATAGGAAGATGATGGTGCAGTTGACAGTTATGAAGGAAAAAGGGAAATTCTGAAAACAGTAGCAGTGCTTAACAGATTTTATAGCATTTCTTATATTGAAGTGATATTCTGACAACAGGTAGTATGAAATGGAAAGTGATATAATAACTTTATATTCATCGGTATTTTCGAGGGTGCCTATATTTTGTAGAGATTCTGAATAAAGATTTTATAATAAGCAATACCTTATTTTGGCTCTCATTCTGTTAGGTGCTTCAGAATCTACAAAAATATCTAGAGTTAGTTCTCTCTTACAGAGTTAACACCTCAGCAAAGTTATTTTGTTCTTTCATGGTGAGTATTAGTAATGCTGTTGTTTTGTTTTCATCTTGACCTTACAACATGAGAGGGGATGAACACTGAAGGGTTGTAGGAGCTGGGAGAAGGTCTGCTGTAGGCCAGACCCCATTTTTCTCAGTTAAGTGTCTTGATATCCTCAAAATTCATTCTAGATTTCTGTCCTTTGCCTATCAATGGAGTTAACCCTTGTGCAAGACTGCTTTCTGTCACCATTCTTTCATAGCTTTTTGTAAACTAATGTGCACAGATACATGCGTGGTCTGCATCCAATGTGAATCCTTATTTTTTAAAAACCTTTAAATTAGCCTGTTGGTGACTTCCTCTGTAATATTTTCATGTTATCCTTTAGATACATAGGCATGATTGAATTTGCATCACAGTGAATTTTTTGCATGTGTATTTTCTCTTATGATTTTACTTTTGGAACAGTCTTAATGTGCAAAAGAAAAAATCTTTAAAAAAATTGCATGGGGTTTTTTTTTTTTTTTTTTTCTTTGAGACGGAGTTTCGCTTTTGTTACCCAGGCTGGAGTGCAATGGCGCGATCTTGGCTCACCGCAACCTCCGCCTCCTGGGTTCAGGCAATTCTCCTGCCTCAGCCTCCTGAGTAGCTGGGATTACAGGCACGCGCCACCATGCCCAGCTAATTTTTTGTATCTTTAGTAGAGACGGGGTTTCACCATTTTGACCAGGATGGTCTCGATCTCTTGACCTTGTGATCCACCCGCCTCGGCCTCCCAAAGTGCTGGGATTACAGGTTTGAGCCACCGCGCCCGGCCTGGGTTTTTTTTAATAGGAAAATTTTTTTTCTACTGGCTGTGATTAAAATTTATTTACAGATATTCAGCTAAATTGGAACACACTAGGAAGTATAGAAAAATGTTTGGCAGTATGTACAGTACAGTGCTTTTATGTTAAATTATGTAAAAACCAGTCTTTATTTTAAAATCCAACACTATAATAAGTTAAGAGAATACTATTTATTTTTAAATGTTGAAAACATTGTTAAATTACCAATTTTTAAATATATTGGTTAAATATTATTTTGCAAATAATGATTTAACGTATGGGTTTAATTATGCTGTAAAATTATTTTTGCTTATTTTACTTTATTTTTAGTAGTATGTTTTAGAATATTTAAAAGTTTAAGCAAAATTGTTGTCATTAAATGAAGAACTATAGCTATAAATAAAGATACTAATTTTGAGAAAGGTACTTTCTGATGAAAAGTGACGTTTCAAATAAGCTGGAAAAAAAAACCATGGTGAGATAGTTAAAAGTTATTCCTCGTCTTGTATTTCACGTCTCTATTTCTAATCATTCTGAATAGCCATGCATTCATTTTTATCATTATTCTTACGTCTTACTTTCTGCTATGTATAAAAAATAATCAATGTCTTCTTGCTTCTTCCAAACTATTAATGAAAGCAAAACAGAATATGGTCAATCTGTATAATTTAGATGTTCTTTAAGTGTACCATTCTGATTTTACTCTTAGACTGACTTTTTTTCCCTTGCCACCTAAAATGTTTGTTTCATTTCCCCCTACCCAATCAGTGTATACACAAGGAATTCATATATTTTAATGTTAGCAAAAACAAAACATTAGAAAGATATGTTTGAGAAAAGCAGATACATCCTAAAAGCAAAACTTAGTTGTTTGGGATTCTGTTTTAGATTATCCCC